ATATTTATTAGTATTCTATATACACATTATTGACGGGAATATAATATATGGATTCCTGTGGTGTATAGAGCATAGAGGAAACGGTGTAGACACAACAATAAAGAGTACCGAGTACCTGCATGTAGGTATAGTGTAATGGTTAATGGGACACAGTATACTTATGGTATTATATATAGTATGTATATACTAGAACGAAGTGCACGCCGTACCGACTGTCTGCCCGCCGAGGGGGGTGTGGGAAAAGGGTTATTACTTATTATATTTTAATGTATTCCACCCCTTCGTTACGATAATAAGATGACACGCGCCCGAGACGACGGCGCCGTAACGCGTTAGAGATGTAAGCAGACGACTTTCGAAGTATGATATAATTACGTTTTACAATTAAACTCGTCGAAAAATGTTCAACAGCAATTATTATTYCAACGTCTGAATAACCGACTAAATAATATAATATTATGTTATGCCCGGAGGAGGACTGTTTCGCGATAGTGCGTCTCCGTCCGACCCGTAAGACGCCATTCGCTGCAAGTCGCAACAACAAGTCACTTCTTCATTCTAATCGTATTGTACGATGTACGTGTACGATCGTAACAATATTTTAACTGCACATTCGCGTGATYTATACTCACAGGATTACTATTTACWACTCAAAATCGGTTCGCGTGTGCCCATAATAACGGTTACCCGCATTACGCGAATAAATCACGCCACGGCGGCAACAACGCATTTCTACGGCCATACATAGTGTAATATTAACAAACAACGATTCAAACCCCCCTCCCCCTCTCCACGATTCCTCATTGACAATCTCAACTCTACGTACGTAGTGCACATAACTATCAAAAAAGCAATGCCTCTAAAAAAATCACTCATGTTATATAATCGTATTATTATCATTCCCATAGTTGAAAATACGACTTTTTGTTCCACGTTACTTATACATCGTGGTATAAAATATCGGATAAAATTATTTAAGTCACAATGTTTTCGAAAGAAGTAGGTATTGGTTACAAAGATCGAAGTTTGTCGCTAAGCATTCGGTGAAAAACCGCGTACTTGCAATTTTACAATAAAATTCTCGTGCAGTACTATTACAAACGATTTTCTGACATAGGTAAGCATAATATACAGGATTATTTATACTACGCAAAATAACCGATTGTGAGATATCAGATAAAATAACACAATCATTTRAACGCGAAAATGTGGTGRTGGGGGAGCATCTAGGATAAGTAAGTTCGCCTAAATAATATTTTCGATTTTTGAACACCCTCATCTCCACCAAACAAAACCTGATTAGATCCGTAGCGTATATATATATATATGGCCATATAGGTACTAGAAATATTTAGTATAATAATAATATGTGCTTAAGAAAAGACGATTTTCCCTCAGTCCAAGAAAAAAAATGTACAGCATATTTGTGCCCATTGTCTAATAATACTACCCTAAACAGAATGTATAAAAATTATATTATTGCAACTCATTGTCGCATTCTACGTAGCTGGTGTTATTTCGTTGCAAAAATTAATCYAATCACACTGCAAGTAGTGATGGCGCCATGCTGGCAAGCTGTATTATACGTAGCTCTGACTTCGATTTTCATTAAAAAGTCTATTTC